GATATATATTTGAAAGCCCGAAAAAAGGCTGATATATTAAATATAAAGAGAGATACAAATAAAATGTGTGGGAGGACCCAAGCAAGACACCCTGCCCGCACAAAAACCACCAATGGTTCCAAAACTAGAAAAAACATAAAAATACATTAGATACTTAAATAAAAAGCCTAACAGTGCCGAAATACATAGTATTAGGTGGCTAGAGAGCGACCCACCATGGCCCTGAGGAAGTGAGGTTCATCCCACTTTAGTCCTGTCCCTGACTCTAGTTTTTGGAAGGGATTCAGCTAGCAGATTGGTAAGGTGTGTATCATTCTGGTGTAGTCTTCAGTATATTCACCATGGCGCTGAGGAAGTGAGGGTCATTCCTCCTCCGAAGAATCAGTCTGATGGGGTGGTAGAGCTGAAGCAGAAGGACTACCAACCATAGTACCCACAATAGGTTCTAGTATATGTGAAGTATGAGTTGCCTCTACACCGGATATTTCCTGAAGAAGTGGAGCTGCGATGCTCTCCTGATTATCAGTCTGAACACTATCATTTGTAGGTAACAATCCATCAGTATTGTTTTCTATGGGGTTTGAAGGTGCCGGCATCACATCGCTCGCAGTAGCAGTAACGACAGTGTCATGGGGGGTGGTCCTCAGGGGCAACAAAAACCTCCTGTCTGGTAGTATCCTCCCCATATGGAACTAAAATGTCCAGAGCAGTGGGGTTAGACCCATCCTTATTCACTTGAACCTTAGATTTCAAATTTGGATGAAACTCGTGGCATTTATCAAGGACATGAACAAACATCTTATAGTGGGTACAATATAGGGGTCTCTGCTCCATGAAGATTTATTATCAATAACCATTATGGGTTGTGCCCAACCAGACTTCAATAACATCAGGTAAAGTAATAACCCTTTTCCTAAGTAGATATCCCTTTTCATAAGTAGTCTGACCACCAAGGGTCTGTTTAAGTTGAAAGTAGACAGATCCAGCTTCAAAGGATCCCTAAGGATGACCCCAATAGAGTAGAGAGCCTGATGGTGAAAAAATGTAACTTGAGACCAGGTAAACTAAACCATATCGGTACATTGATAGTTTAATGATTTGGGTCGAAATCAGGAGACCACTTGAGTAGCTTCATAGGGTTTCCGTTTACCAGCAATGTTAATAGATTTTTTGGAGAAAATCCAAATGTAGTCTTCAGACACGATTAACTGAATCAATACATGTCTCACATCCATGAGCCCCACTTTCCACTTTCCTGTTAATTTGAGGTCATCAAAATTTTTCCTGATAATTTCCATAAGTGGGTGTCCCCACTGAAATTTCCTAATAAGAACAAATTTGAATTTGTCAGTCAGCGTTGAAATTTCTGACGTGGAGAAAAAGAGTATTGTCTCCCACTTTTTCTGCTTGCATTCTTAATAAAGGGACGATCACCTATACTATCACGATGCTTCTTATAACTTGAAGGGAAGACAACCGCCATCTCTCCCAGAGGACTACCAACCACGCGGGCAAAGGAGATTTTGTCAGGTTCAACCGAAGAAGATGAAAGCTCCATCACAACAAAGAGAAGCCCTGCAAGTCGGGTAGAGGGCAAAAAAGACGAGTCAAAGGGTTTGGGGCGAAGTTGCGCAAAAGACAGTAACCGCAGATGAAATGCGCAGAAGACAGGGCTACGAAATCGCAGCTTGGCAGACAACCGCAGCTCTGCAGACAACCGCAGCTCGATCCGCGCAGAAAAGACCTACAAGTTGGAAGACGCAAAGGAGGAGACGACGAAACCACAGAAGCAGATGTCGAAGCCCTTCGTCCTTTGACACGAAAGAGAAGACGACGATCGCAAGGTAGAGTTCTTTGTCGTCGTCGTCGAGTGCGAGAAACTCGTCAAGTGCGGGAACTTCGTCGTCGAGTAAGGAATCAAACCAGGGTTTCGCCCAAGGGCGAAACCCTAGCAGAGGTTAAGGGATACATATATATATATATATATAGGGGATAAGTGTATAGTGTAAAACTTATGGAATCATGTAAAAGTTTAGTATAATATATATAATAATGTCAAGCCTCATAAATTAATAATTAATATATTAAGAATCCTCATAAATTAATACTTAATATATTAAGAAATAAGGTAGACGATTCTATACACAATTATAATTTATATAATTGAATAATTGAAGGTTAATTAAGTTAAAATTAGTATATATATTTATTATAGTTGTCGAGTTAAAAGGGCAAGGTCCAAGGATTAGAAAGGCAAATCAACAAAAGTAAGTCTTATGACATTGATAGGCATACATATGTTTTTAATTTACATTAGTATTGTATCTCTTGTGAACTAAATCTATGAGATAATTCTGCTACTTAGATAGATTGTCATTGCAAATTTACGCATGATCTATATTATATTGAATGATTTGGTCATATTGAAATGTATGATGTAGATTCTTTTAGCATGTTTATGTGTGTGTATGTGTATATATATATCTTTGTACGAATGCTAATTATTATAGAAATATAGTGTGTGTATCTTTGTACGAATGCTAATTATTATAGAAATATATTAAATGATATGAATAAAATGAATTTATATAATGCTTATATGTGCATATTGACTGATAGAGTTTATACCCTTAATAGTACTAGCAAGGAATGTTAAGGTACTTATGCATGTAAACTAAAATTGATGTTAATATTTAAGTAGCTTAAATAATATAATTTAGACAATGTTCTTATAACTGATGTAATGTATAAAATGGTTTAAATAATATAAGATACGGTATTATACATTTAATATTCTGAGTCCGCTTGAATGGTCATACTTGAATTATGAGTTGTCAAATGATTTTTATTTTGATTCATTTTGTTTGATAAGCATGCATGTTGCCTTCTTGTTTATTATATTATTGTAATTTAAAAAAGTATTAACTGAGTTGTTAGTAACTCCTGATGAATTAAACTACATTTCAGATTTAAATTATGGACTAAAAAATGAGTGATTGAAAAATAGTCGTAGATTGAATGTATGACTAAAATAAAGGAAATTAACTAAATAATTATTTTACTCTTAAGTTGATTTAAATTTTATTTCACCAGTGGCTCTTTCAATTTGTTAAATTATTATTTTTTATAGTAGTGATGGTAATTAAAATTAAATTCATTGTTCGATCGTCGATTTTTGCCTTGATAATTCCAAACATCGAGCCAGCTCGTGTTGGTGCTCAGTAAGCACCTTGAGGCTTCAAATATTCCCAGCCCAAGTTAGGCTTGTGATATCGGAGAACCCAAACAACAATTGGAAAACAAATATTATTATTGAATTCAAATATGAACTTATAAATAGAGACATTGAAATAAGAAATAACTACACACACGACACATAACTTGCGACTGGTTGAATCGAAGATGGCGGTGGTAGTTGTTGAGGGTCTGAAATGGTGGCAACAAGGTGGGAAAGTAGAGTAAGTGGGTGTATGTAATTACAAAACAGTAGGTCTGGAACAACAATTGCCTTTGTTGTCTTGCTGTGGCAACGCATGGGAAGGGGTCTCGACAAAAAGCACAACAATAACTGCTTGTCCAAACCCTAATGTAAGACATATAGGAAATAACCGGAAAGGAAGGATAAAAGAAAACATATTGAAAATTGAAAGGAATCGAAGTGGCATGGTTCGGTTAGGCTCTGTGCCGTTCGCTCGACTTGGGTGTCATGTCCGCTCCCGTAGTGGGAGATGCCAGTGTCAGTTTGTCTTTTTCATTCGAAGCATACACCTAGAGGCAATATGCCTTGAGGCAATTGAAGTGAGCCTCAAAATATTTTCTAGTCAAGGACTCGTGATGCTTGAAAGCTGAAGTTGAGGCCTTCAAGTACTGGTCTATGATTTATGGCTACTGGGAGAGGGGCCTGTGAGTGAGCTTCTGCATCAACCAAGCATTGTGGGTAGGTGTTAGGTTTTTAATTTTTTAAACTAGTTTGCTTTTCATTTTATTTTAATTAATTTGTTTTCATTTTCTTATGATTCTTTTTTGTTTTTCTTTCAAATACTTTTTAATTATTTTGATTTTCTTTAATTTCATATTTTTTTATTTGAATTTTTAGTTTTGTTTTAAATGCTTTTTATATTTCCTTTTTTTAGGTATTTTTATTTAACTTTTTAATTCGTTTTTATTTTTCTTCTACTTTAATTAGTTTATTTTTTGTGCACAACTAGTAAAAAAGTGTCGGATGATGCTTAAAATTAATGTGCTTGATATTTGAAAAGTTAAACCACCTAAACAAATGTAGTTTAAAAAAAATATGAAGAAAATGATTGAGAATAATCTTATTTTTGTTGTCAACAGGGCGGTTCTAATTTCGAAAGTGACAATCAAAGTTTTGATCTTTCGTTTAGCAGGGGAACTTTGGGACGATTGATAGATTTGTTGTAAATTTTAAAAAAGATGAGAACAATAACACTCAAGCAGCCCCTCTTTCAACAATCAGTGGATACTTCGTCATATTTATAATCCTATTTTAATTTTGTGTTTTTTTTTTTTAATTTGAGGCTTATGCGTCCCCTCGATCTAACTTTAAGCTTATGCATTCGTCTTAATAAGGTAAACACTTTAATTCCTGATTTCACCTCTTTAACCAAGAATCTCTATTTCCCATATGTAGTACCAAACCTTTCTATCTATCTTTATGGACAAACAAATATTTATATATGCACGCCTGTATATAAATTTTATCTGTGAAATTCATCAATTTTTCTTTTTTATTTAACATCGAGAAGCAATTTTCAGTTAGGTTTGGCAATTGTGCTTATGAAACTCTACCTGTTTACTACAAGGAATGCAGTTCAATTTCAATTTAGAATGACATATTTGATGCTGTTTAATTTATGTTATAATATCATGCTATGGTTTATGGCAGTTTTGTTTAAGAATATTAGTTTTTCAAATTTCTTCTTTCATTTATCAACTTTGTTTGGACTTGACTTAATTTGTACCTTTGTGGTTTGCAGAATATGGGCATATAACAAACATCTACAACTGGTAATGCCTCATTTTTTTTTCAATTCATTTGGTAATGTTTCTTTAGGTCGATTCTCTTATTTATAAGCCTTTTTCTATCTTTGATATTCTGCTTTCATTAAGGTAAATATTAAACATTCATGCAAAGGCAGCATTATATATCCAGTTCATACAAATTTTAATCTCTATGATGAATTGGTTTCACTTTATTTCCATTAGCTAATTTTAATCATATATGAGTTTTAATATGTATTTTGGTAACTTGATACACGGTAATCAATCTTTGAGGAAAGCTATAAAATTGGCATATCGAAATTGTTTTTATTTTTATTGCATTAGCTTGTGAACTTTGTTTTTCTTAGCAGAACTTCGTTTGTTACATACCTTTGTTTAGTGAAGATGGTTGGTTTTTCTCTTGTGAGTGTGAACCAATTTGAACTACTTTGTCATGTGACGCTCAATAGCTGGTGGCAGGAAGTCTGTGCAGTTGTCTCATCCAATTAGAGTAATTGTGTTGTTTGTTTTATTGTTTGGAGATTTGCATGCATATCACATAATTCTTAGCAATTTACTTATGTAACTCCTAAAATTTAATATTTATATTTATAGCGCTAAAATTTTCAGCATCACATCAACTTCCACTGAAACTAACTTTAGTAAAGTGAATTCATCTTTTTTGATGTGATTAAAATGTTAGTGTTAAATATGTAAATATATAAGAATCATGTGGTATATATGTACTTTGTATGGTGTTTGTGGTAAGAATTGTGTTATGTAAAAAATGGAACACTTGAGGTGGTCTAATGATTTTTCTTCTGTTGATTATTGATTTCACAGTTACATTGGTACAAATCACCGAAATAATGGTAGAACTACATTTGTTCTTTGTGTAATTTTATCTTGAAATGAATTTGGGTGATTTCTATATCATCATGTCCTCTATTTTGTTTTATTGTATTTATGATAGGAGTTCATATACAAGCATTAAATTTTAAGAATGAAATGCAAGAAGAATACTGCCAAATACGCCAAATTGCAAGCTTTTGACTATGCAGTCGATGACGGAAACAAATATTATTAAGCAAAATAACTAGTGGTATAATCAAAACTCTAACAAAAATGAAAACAAGGCTAGCAAGAGTCGGTCGCGGACTAAGGAAAATATTTGCGGACATCGGCGGTGAGGTTTGTGCTGGTCGGTGGTTGGAAGTGGTGACAACAGATGGACGGCCCGATGGTTAGCGGCTGACAGGTGGCAGGAGGGTTTGGTGGTTGCTGAAAGGGGAAAGGAAGGCCAGCGGGTGCTGTAGGAAGGATAGTAGCAGGCGAAGGTGGTGCTGGAGGGACCAGTAGGTGCGGGCGTCTTCTAGAAGGGAAAGGCCAGTAGGTCTCGACTGGACTGGAGGGGAGCAACAGGTGTGGGTGGCTGCTAGAAGAGGAAGTGCATTCAACTGTAGCAGTAGGTGCAGGTGACTGCGGGAAGAGTAAGGGCAGTCGGCGGCTGATGGAATTGCCGAACAACTAGAATGAAGCTGGAGAACACAGCAGTTGTGGCAGCGGGTGGATGGTGAAGGGCAGCAGGCAATAGCGGTGCTTGGAGTGGTCGATGAACTCTAGGTGTTAAATATGTAAATGCACAAGACTTCAGTGGAATGAATGTAAATCTCCTAAGAAGAGAATGGGGAAACGGATCTGAACAACTGAAATAGATGAACTGATAAATAACTGAATGCATGTAAATCTCCTAAGAAGAGAATGGGGAAACTGATCTGAACAACTGAAATAGATGAACTGATAAATAACTAGTTAAGAAGTATGGTAAGATTTTCACAATCAAGCAGTAGATGTTTTCTATAAAAGGGTAGAGTCCAAGAAGGCTTGCATAATGTTACATGGTGTGAAAATGATCATGAGAGCCGGGGATATGAAATTGAACATTAGTATCAAAACTGCCAAATTAGCCAACTCTCTGCCAAACCATTTCTCTTTTATTGAATTCTTGTCTAGTTCTAGTTTAGAATAATTAAACAACTCTGGTGAAAGAAGCTAGCAGCAATTGCACAAGCAAGTGAGAAAAAAATGAGAAAATCAAAGCATACATACTATGGTTTGATCGGACTTATTGGATCAATTCCAGAAACGTCTGTCGCTGGTAGCATCTGTCGCCTTGAGTTGAATGTAGGTCGTGCGAGCAAGGGGCGAATCAATATAATGGGAGGTTGCTCTACTTGCGGGTAGGAGCTGACGTGAGGAGGAGAGTGAGGGATCGGGCGTGAGCTTTGCTAAAAGGGGGCTGGGGCATCGTGGCGTCTATCACGAGGGAGACAGGAGTGCAAAGGGGATTTTTTGTGCGTTTTAAAAACAGAAAAAAGACGTTTTCCATGTTTTGAATGTTTCCCCTAAAAATAAAATTAAGAAATAAAATAAAAAACAGATAAATAAATGCAGTTTTTTTTTTTTTGTTTTTTGTTTTCAAGATAAAACAAAAATTTATCCGAAACAACTTCTTAGTGTGTAATATTTTACCAGTTGATATTTTCACAGAGGATCTATGCATTCCACTCCCATCTTTTAAAGAAAAAAGGTGTTGTTCTCTTTGAATGGCGCAGACCCTGTGTTGAGAATATATATAAATAATACATTATACTTGTTTGCTTGGACTGAAGTGCTGCAAAAAAAAAAAAATTAATTTGCTTTGCAGGCTTCTTTGCTCGTCCCATTGTTGCAATTCAAAATGCAAATACCCTGCTTTTCTTACTGCTATGTGAATCCACTTCCAATACCATTGTAACATAGGGAACTGCATGCAATTAGAATGGCTAGTTTCCTTTTTTGAGAATTTACACTCATTTTGTTCTTGCTATTCTTGATAGTGGAAATACTTAAATATTGCTTCTTGGAAGGCGATTAATTTTATTTTTATTTTGCAACTAAAACTATATGTTGGATTCTGTTACTTTTGTTGATATTTAGTTGGTTATTATGTTTAGTGACACTTTTAATGAGAACTTGCCGCCAACAAATGATCCAAAATACATCTCATCACTTGGAGCTGCTGTGTATGATGCAATGGCTCAAGGTGACGGTGATGCAATATGGTTAATGCAGGTACTTAATCTTATTTTATTATTTCGCCAAATCATGTTTTCTACTTGATAGACTTTAAAGGTATGTTATAACCCATTTCTAATTCTACAGTTAGTTTAAAAATATTAATGCCCCCACCTCATGATGATGAGAGATGATTGCACTAGAGGAGGTATAATGAACAATACTAGGTTCATTTTAATTTTTAAAGGTAGCATGAAGAATAACTTTTGCCTTGTAGGAAGAAATTAGGTTTTGGCAAAATGAAGCTCAATGTTAGTGGGCATGCCTCACGCACTTAAGCTGAGCTATGAAATTTAGTAAGTTTAGAAAGAATGTTGGGGAACTCTTCTCAAAAGGGCTAATATGGTACGGTGCCTTACTTTTTCTAAAGTTGTGGGCTTAGATGATGGTTGGGTCGGTTTCTGATGGACGGAAAGAAAAATAACTCATGCATATAAAATTTGAATTTAGAGAGCTTTCAATTGGCTAAATATAATTTGAATTCATTAAAAGATAGATAATGTCACGTACACAGTTTTGATTTAGGGAGCATTCAATTGGCTACAAATAATTTGCATTCATTCAATGATCAATTTATTATATCAATCAGTTAGACCTAATGAATCCCTATGTATAGAAATGAGATTGTAAGGACACGACTAAACATTTAAATTTAAACATATTCCTATCCATTTCAAACAAAATTTCAAATTTGAACATATCCTTATGCAATGGAAATTAAATCTAATAAAATTATTCAAATTGAAGAGAATGATACCAGAGTTAACCCAAACAATAATAGAAAACTTAATATTATTACTTGAAGCAACTAAGAGGTTGCAATCAATGCACTTAAAAGAAAAAATATAATAACATGAAGCCCAAACATCAGAAATAGCCACAGAAACAACACAGATAATCAAACTAGGGGGGATCTTGGGGTAGTGGTGCTGATCGGTGAGATTTTCACCCTCTGACAAGGTAACAAGGAGTTGTTGAAGGTTGGAAGGTGCGGCGAAAACAAAGGGTGTGAACGACTGCAGCGAAGGGGAGGAGTTGTGACAAGGACAACAAGATGGAAGGAAAGGAATGGATGGCTTGGTGTCTGGAATAGTAGAAAAAAGCAGGAAAATGCTGTTTTCGGGCTGCTGCAGTGTAGGAAATGTCTGCGGAAGCGACGGGGGATGCGGGGAACTGCTGGACGGGAAGAAGATGACTGTCTGGGGTGGCGGTAGCGAGGACATGTGGCTGTATTGGGAAACTGCAGGGTAAGCAGCAAGTTCCAGCTATTTGAGACACCAATACTATCAACCTCCGACTCAAAACTCTCAGTGATATGATTCATCCTCCGTCTCCCAACCTTCAAACTTTAAGGAGAACCTCTTGCAGCAATGCAAGACATCCTCCTGATTGTTTTGGGTGGGAATATGACATTGCTAACTTTGTTTTGGGACATCCTCCCGATTGTTTTGGGTGGAAATATGACATTGCTAACTTTGTTTCATTTTCTAATATGTCATATTTACAAGGAGTATTCATTGCATCTTTGAACACAGTCTCTTTATCTAAGTGTGAGCAGGTTGCTAAGGAGGATCCCAAGTAGAAAGTGGCTATACATGAAGAGCTTAGGACTCTCGACAAAAACCAAATTTGGGAGATAGTGCTACTACCAGCGGGAAAAAAAACAGTTGGGTACAGGTAGATCTTCATAGTAAAGTAAAATCTAGAAGGGAAGGTGGTGTTGTACAAAGCAAGACTTGTGACGAAATGATACAATCAGACATATGACATTGGCTATGATGAAACTTTTGTACGAGTAGGAAAGATGAGCATAGTGAGGATACTGATTTGTCTGGCAGTGAAGGCTAGGTGGAGATTACACCAAATTGATTTGAAGAATGCATTTATTCATGGTGAGTTACTGAAGGAGGTATATTTGGAGGTACTACCAGGATTTGGTGTAGTCCAGATAGTAGACATTATGTGTAGGCTCAGAAAGTTTCTGTATGACTTGAAGTTGTCCCTTCGAGTTTGATTTAACAAGTTTAGAAAGGCTATCGTGGGCATGAGATATCGGCATATGCAGATTATACAGTGTTCTTTCAACAACATGAAGGTCACATCACTATACTTGCTGTTTATGTTGATGATATCATTGTCACCAATGATGATGATACAAAGATTATTCAACTAAATGTAATGTTGAGCAATGAATTTGAGGTGAGGGATCTTAGATAGTTCAAATACTTTCTTTGAATTGAAGTGATCCATGTACCCGAGGGGATGGTTTTGTTCAAGAGAAGCTGCAAATCTACAGTGTCTTCGATTGACTAGAAGGCCAAGCTAAGTGCAAAGGCAGGAAAATTGGTTGATTGTGAGAGATACTAGAGATTGGTGGGCCATATGATCTATTTGTGTCACACTCAATGCGACATCTCTTCTGCAGTGAGCCTGGTAAGCCGCTACATGCATGTTACAATTACCATTTGGATGCAGTGTATTAGATTTTGATGTACCTGAAGAGTGCACCAGGGAACAGGTTGACCTTCAGGAGGAATGGACATGTAGACATTGAGGTATGTTGTGACGCTGACTGAGCGAGTTGTGCAGATGACAGAAGATCCATCTTAGGGGGCAACTTGCTCTTTCGGAAGCACTTGGAAGAGTAAGAAATAGTCTGTAGTAGCGAGGTCAACACCAGAAACAAAGTATAGGGTCATGTCCTTAGAAGTTGCCGAGATGATGTAGCTAAGAGGCTTGTTGGTCGAGCTCAAGGAGGACCAAGGAACTCAAATAAAGTTGTGGTGCACCACCAAGTCGACAATCAACATTGCCAACAACTCGGTGCAACATGATAGAACCAAACATGTGGAGATTGATAGATTATTCATCAAGGAAAAATTGAATAACGGGCTACTAGAGCTAAGTCATGTAGCCATTAGAGAGCAGATGGTTCACTTCCTCACTAAAGGACTTAGTTCATTAGATTTGTCTAGGTTATGTGACAAGATGAGTTTAGTGGATATCTTTTGCCCATCTTGAGGGGGAGTGTTTAGAATTGGACCTTATTTACAATCTTATTGGTAAAAAGGGAATATTGAAGAAGTTTAGGGGTGTATTGTAAAATATTGTAAAACTCTATTTAAGCACATGTTATGAATGTACAAAACAAGTTTTGAACAATTCTTTCTTCAAATTTTTGTTTGTCCTATAAAATCTCTTCATTACCTCAAAGCCTACAACTTGAGTATGCATAGAAGTGATCAACAAATGATGCCAGGTCAGTGCATCTGTTACTCTTTTCTCACTTTTTGCTTTATGTTTAACCACTAACTAAGACGATGTCAAGAACTCCATCCAGGACGAATGTCAACTCTTCAGTTTGTTCTGGTTGTTCAAGAATTTCAAAGCCTCATGATCCATAAATAAGGTGGAATCACTCGTCTGCAGGTAGGGACTCCAGTGAATAAGAGCTCTCGATCGCTCAGTACTACTCCGATTCTTACATTTGAGCCGTCACACTTTACCTCGAATAGCTGATTGAAGTATGGTAAGGCCAATATTGGTGTCTGAATACGAAATGATACAATCAGACATATGACATTGGCTATGATGAAACTTTTGTACGAGTAGGAAAGATGAGCATAGTGAGGATACTGATTTGTCTGGCAGTGAAGGCTAGGTGGAGATTACACCAAATTGATTTGAAGAGTGCATTTATTTATGGTGAGTTACTGAAGGAGGTTTATTTCGAGGTACTACCAAGATTCGGTATAGTCCAGATAGTAGACATTATGTGTAGGCTCAGAAAGTTTCTGTATGACTTGAAGTTGTCCCTTCGAGTTTGATTTAACAAGTTTAGAAAGGCTATCGTGGGCATGAGATATCGGCATATGCAGATTATACAGTGTTCTTTCAACAACATGAAGGTCACATCACTATACTTGCTGTTTATGTTGATGATATCATTGTCACCAATGATGATGATACAAAGATTATTCAACTAAATGTAAGGTTGAGCAATGAATTTGAGGTGAGGGATCTTAGATAGTTCAAATACTTTCTTTGAATTGAAGTGATCCATGTACCCGAGGGGATGGTTTTGTTCAAGAGAAGCTGCAAATCTACAGTGTCTTCGATTGACTAGAAGGCCAAGCTAAGTGCAAAGGCAGGAAAATTGGTTGATTGTGAGAGATACTAGAGATTGGTGGGCCATATGATCTATTTGTGTCACACTCAATGCGACATCTCTTCTGCAGTGAGCTTGGTAAGCCGCTACATGCATGTTACAATTACCATTTGGATGCAGTGTATTAGATTTTGATGTACCTGAAGAGTGCACCAGGGAACAGGTTGATCTTCAGGAGGAATGGACATGTAGACATTGAGGGATGTTGTGACGCTGACTGAGCGAGTTGTGCAGATGACAGAAGATTCATCTTAGGGGGCAACTTGCTCTTTCGGAAGACCACCAAGTCGACAATCAACATTGCCAACAACTCGGTGCAACATGATAGAACCAAACATGTGGAGATTGATAGTTTATTCATCAAGGAAAAATTGAATAACGGGCTACTAGAGCTAAGTTATGTAGCCATTAGAGAGCAGATGGTTCACTTCCTCACTAAAGGACTTAGTTCATTAGATTTGTCTAGGTTATGTGACAAGATGAGTTTAGTGGATATCTTTTGCCCATCTTGAGGGGGAGTGTTTAGAATTGGACCTTATTTACAATCTTATTGGTAAAAAGGGAATATTGAAGAAGTTTAGGGGTGTATTGTAAAATATTGTAAAACTCTATTTAAGCACATGTTATGAATGTACAAAACAAGTTTTGAACAATTCTTTCTTCAAATTTTTGTTTGTCCTATAAAATCTCTTCATTACCTCAAAGCCTACAACTTGAGTATGCATAGAAGTGATCAACAAATGATGCCAGCTCAGTGCATCTGTTACTCTTTTCTCACTTTTTGCTTTATGTTTAAGCACTAACTAAGACGATGTCAAGAACTCCATCC